CATTCTTTTGCATGTAGCTGTCCAGTTTTTCCAGCACCACTTATTGAAGAGGCTGTCTTTTCTCCACTGTATTAGAGAAATGCAAATCAAAACTACAATAAGCTATCACCTCACACCGGTCAGAATGGCCATCATCAAAAAATCTACACACAATAAATGCTGGAGAGGGTGTGGAGAAAAGGGAACCCTCTTGCACTGTTGGTGGGAATGTAAATTGATACAGCCACTATGGAGAACAGTATGGAGGTTCCTTAAAAAACTAAAAATTGAACTACCATATGACCCAGCAATCCCACTCCTGGAAAACCATAATTCAAAAAGACACATGTCTCCCAATGTTATTGCAGCACTGTTTACAATAGCCAGGACATGAAAACAACCTAAATGTCCAATGACAGATGAATGGATAAAGAAGATGTGGTACATATATACAATGGAATATTACTCAGCCATAAAACAGAACGAAATTGGGTCATTTGTAGAGATGTGGATGGACCTAGAGTCTGTCATACAGAGTGAAGTAAGCCAGAAAGAGAAAAACAAATATCAGTATTAACGCATTATGTGGAATCTAGAAAAATGGTACAGATGAACCTATTTGCATGGCAGGAATAGTGACACAGACGTAGAGAACGGACATGTGGACGCAGTGGGGGAAGGGGAGGGTGGGACAAATTGGGAGATTAGGTTTGACATAAATACACTACCATGTTCAAAATAGAGGGCTTCCCTGGTGGCACAGTGGTTAAGAATCCCCCTACCGATGCAGGGGACATGGGTTCGAGCCCTGGTCCGGGAAGATCCCACATGCCGTGGAGCAACTAAGCCTGTGTGCCACAACTACTGAGCCCGCGTGCTACAACTACTGAAGCCCGTATGTCTAGAGCCTGTGCTCCGCAACAAGAAAAGCCAATGCAATGAGAAGCCCGTGCACTGCAACGAAGGGTAGCCCCTGCTCGCCGCAACTAGAGAAAGCACACATGCAGCAATGAAGACCCAATGCAGCCAAAAATTACAATAAATAAAATAAATAAATTTCTAATAAATAAATAAAATAAAATAGATAGCTAGTGGGAACCTGCTGCATAGCACAGGGAGCTCAGCTCGGTGCTCTGTGATGACCTAGATGGGTAGGATGGTGGGGTGGGGTGGGACGGAGGTCCAAGAGGGAGGAGTTATAGGTATACATATAGCTGAATCACTTCATTGTACAGCAGAAACTAACACAACATTGTAGAGCAATTATACTCCAATAAAAAATAAAAGTAAAAAAATAAAAAACAATGTATATGCCTAATTAAAAAATACTTCTTTGCTAAGAAATGCGAACCACCAGTTGAGCCTTCCACGAGTCATAATCTTTTTGCAATAGTAACATCAAAGATCACTGATCACACATCACCGTAACAAACACAATAATAATATTGAAAACGTTCAGGTATTGCAAGAATTACCAAAATGTGATATAGAAACACAAAGTAAGCAGATGCTGTTGGAAAAATGGTGCCATAGTCTTGCCATACTCAGGGTTGCCACAAATCTTTAATTTGTTAAAAATGCAATAAAGCAAAGTACAGTAAAACAAGCCATGCCTGGATTGTCAGAAGCACCAACATTCTTGGAGACTCAACAGCCGGACAACCACTTTGGACTCTCCTACCCCCACATCAGTCACTTACCAACGCCTACCGAAGGTTTCTGTATAACATCTCCCCACCTTTTCATTCTTACTGCCACACCCCTAGGCCAGGGTGCAATCCACATACCCCTCAATTAGAGCAACTCAACAGTTGGCTGTTCAAAACCTCCTATGATCTAGCCCCAACCTACCTCATAAACCAGTGGCCCACCCTCCCATTGCTCACTCAAATGAGCTTCTTCCTTCTATCAGTTGGCCTGCTTTAAGCCAGCCTCCATTCTTTTTTCCAGGCCATTTCATCCATCTGGATTTCCTTTTTTCTATATATATGCATTCACTCCCTCCAACCCCCTGCCCATGCATTCATTCAATAACCATTAAACAGTGCCAACTATGTACTAACAACCTTCTAGCTGCTGGGAATCCAGTGATGATCAGGACAAAGTCCCTCTGTTCTAGGAGCTTATGTTCAAGTGGGGAAGCTGTAAATTAAAGCCTGGTGAAGGGATAAAGAATGGCACCGTGGGCGTGTCTGTCCTAGACAGGGTGGTCAGGAAAGCCTGTGATGGGGAGTAGACGTTGGATCTGAGACATGAATGATACGAGAGTTAATCCTCTGAAAATTGGGATAAGAGCTTCAAAGTCTTCTTCTTCAGAGATCACATAGCTCTTCAGAAATCACCCCCACCCCTGACTCCAGGACTCACTGCCTGAGATACTCATGTGTCCTTGAGTTGCTTTTTACCTATTTGTGCCTAACCAGATGGTAAGTTCTTTAAAGGCAGGATCTGGATAGCACATCCTAAAAGTCAGAGGTTAATGGAGCATTATTGCATACAAGGACCACCCAGCTAAGGCAAAATACAGGAGAAATCATCTCACTTTGATTCTAAAAATGTGAGAATCCGAGGAAAAATTTCTTCCTTGTGATTTGAGGAAGACAGTTTTGCAGGTGCCATTCATTCCACAGTGGAGGTTTTCCTAGCTGGGGGTGAGGAAGGCAGTTAAGGCCGCTCTGTCTGATTTGAATCTGTAAGCAGGCAATAAACTCCTTACAACTGAGGCAGAAAATGCCACCAAAAGCTCCAAGATGGAAGGACATCTGTTGTCAAACTATCTTGAAATCCTTGAGCTGAAGTCACAATGAAAGTGTTTTCCTGAGGATGCTTCTGACTTTAAGATAATGATTCCAGGATAAATCATTTTCATGATGTAAGAAACATTTTCATGATGAGTTGTCATTGAGAATCAATGAAAAGGATACTGAAATGCATCTAGAGTTTATTGAATCGAATCTTACTTTGTAAATAATTTTAAAGTATATAGTGTTAATATTTTTTTAATGTAAAATGTTTTTACTTTAACGCATTTAATAAAGAGTTAGATTTTTGCCAATCAGCTAACACATATTAACTGAGTGCATCCAATCACCAAGGCTACACTGTGAGGCAGGTACAGTAGTGAACAAACAGATAGGGTCCCTGTCCCCAAGGAACTTACAGTCCAGCAGAGAAGATAGATGCTAAATAAATTAGTATCAATAATTAGAAAATTACAAGCTAGTAAAACATTGCAATAGAGAAACACAGGGGCTACTGAAGTGTGTGGGGAAAGGGGAAGGGGGTGGTCAGAGCAAATTCCCTAAGGAAGGGACATTTCATCTGAGACAGAAATTAACTAGTAGTACTTACTGAAGGAAGGTAGCACAAAAGTATGTTCCAGGCAGAGGACACCTCATGTACCCAAGATCACCAGTGGAGAGGAACATGGCACTTGGGAAGAATAGCCAATTCAGTGGGGCTGGACTGAAAAAGGCACAGGATGGGGCTGGGAGGGCAGGAAGAGGCGAAACCAAAGCAGGCTTTGTTACAGGATTCTGGTTTTACCCTACAGACTAGGGAAGGCCATTTCACTTTTGGATATTGGGGAAGCATACTAACCTCTATAAAAATAGAATCCTATAAGTCCCTCTTCAAGAAAGAAAAATTTGAGATGAGACAGGAATCACCTTTTAAGAAGACAGTCAGTTTTACTTAAAGGGAAATTGAAGAAAAATCACTTGGACCTAAAAATACTTTTGTTTATCGAGGCATTATGCTGCAAATCGCTTTTCTTGGCTGATAAAAGAAGATGGAGGATAAAGATTATTTACAACCCAGGTAGTTAAGGCAGCTATTTGCTTACAAATCAGATTGAGATAGGTCCCCAACAAAACTAAACTAGATTATGCTCCACTTAAGTGACAAATTTCTTAGCTGCCATTCTAGAGAAAGAAATAAGGACTGGTTTTCTGTCAAATTGTTTTGACATCCCTGTTTTTGCCCATCTGAAATGCAAACATTTAATGTTTGTATGTGAACATCACGAATTGTGAAACATGTTTTAGATAATCATGGGGAGACAAACATAACTGGAAGTTGTAATAGTTGGAAATTTGTAATTATTATTAGTAACTTCTGATAGAATTAAACATAAAATAGCTAAAAGTTTTTCTTCTTTTCTTTGCCTAAACCTCAATGTTGACCAAAATATAAAACCCAGTTTACAATTTTGGGAGTTTGAAACAGTAGCTGTCAGTCTTTCTTTTGAAGCAATTAAAATAAAATTGGGAGCTTTGCTTACACTTCACTCCCTCGTTAACCCCATCAATGGCTGTCACCATCACTCTTCCTCAAACCAGACTATGCCAACTTCCACACCTCTGCTTGTGTTATTGTCCCTGCCTGGTATTCCCTTCTCACTCCCAGATCCAGAGCCTGGTATGTCACACCAAATGACTAGGAAGACACTATTTACTGGTAAGGAACCCATATTGCAAATTCATGTCTTTGAAGTGATGAATAAACTTCATGAAAGTTGCTACTCTAAATCCAATTGGCCACCATTTGCTGATTTCCTTCTTTATGTAGGGAACAATATCCAAGGAAGAAACAGGCTGAGAACGAACCTTCAGTCAAATGACATGCCCCATAAATCAAAGTGGCGCTCACTGACCCACTTTTAATAATGCATGCGTTTTGAGCTGCCCCCTAGTGGCTGAGGTGAGAAGGCCAATGAGTTACTCTCATGCCCTCCTCCAGCCCCAGGAAGATCAAAGGCACATGCTGCCGATGACCCAGGCTATAGCCACGTTTGCAGCCAGAGTGAGGCTGCCTGGCTCACATATGAATTGAATCTGTTCACCTTGGTCTCACAGAATGCCAAGCCAAACGGCAACAATTCGGGGCATGGGTAATCCCTTGGTCAATCTGGTAGTATTATTAAGACTAATGCCCAAATCATTTAAGATAATAATACGTTGGCAACTCTTCAAAGCTTCTGTCTGAGAAATGGAAAGTTGGCAGAACCAAACTTGACTTACCGCAGGTAGAGGTCGAGTGGAGAACAGTACCCCTCACGCTGCAGGGAAGGGGACGAAGGCAAGGTAAGTGACCTCCGGGTTACTTCTGAGCACACAGACCTTTCAGGCATTGTTCCCAAAGCTGTATCCACAAACTGCCAATCAAAATGGCACCTTGGAAACCTTCTGGTGTTTGATCTGGGTGACCAATCACATCAGATCATTCAGGACAAGAACTTCCAAGTTTAAGGCTCCACGAGTCTTCATGGGTCCTAGTAGTTCAGAATGTGTCCCACAGAGATAGACCCCACAGGACTCCAACAGTTAGATGTCACGGTCTTTGTCATTCCAAACCACCACAGCTGCTCCTCTCCAGGCTGTCCTAATTAGCAGCATGGCGCTCATTAACAGGTGCTGCCGGTTTAAATGTTCTCCCCCACGTGGACCAGGGCCTATAAAACCTCCCCAAAATACATCCTCCTGTGAAAGTGGTGCATACCTGGCAACAGATGTTTGCTGAAGATAGGCCTGACGATTTGCCCTTCCAGGATCCAAGATTCTGATCCCCACCTGCCCACCACTGTCCCAACATCCCGCCCCCAGCCAGTCAGGAGGGGCAAAGCATTCCAGAGGCACCACCACCACACAGACTCATGGTGCTTCGCTGAGCACACAGTAGGCACACAGTGTTAGCAACCAGCAGGGCTGATATTCAGCGAATATGCACCAAGACAGCATAAAATTTGTCAAAATGTGGGAAACTCCCATACGGGATGTTAAATACCTGCTTCCCCAATGTCCCTGTGCACCCAGTGTCCAGCATCACATGATGGTGTGGTACCTTCCCTCAGGACCCTGGGGACCTCTTCACTGTCCAGTATCCATCCTGATTGGTCAGTGCCGTAGATACCAGTCATTAAATTCAATATCATGCCTGGCTCTCATCGTCTTCTTTGTCACCGTCATTATTTATGTACTCCCATCCTCAGAAACATTCATACCCAGCAACTCAGCTCTGCCTCCCACAATTTCTCGCTGACTTCTTCTCCTTCTCCTTCTCCACAGTAGATTCCTACCCTCGGCCCACCCTTTCAATAACGGTATTTTCTGGCTCCACACAATCGCTGAGTCATCTCACCCACAGCCTTGACTTCACTTACGCTGACTGGGGATTTGTCAAATGTCACACATTTGTCGTTATGTGTGAGTTGTCGATTCAGCTGGACTGGACGTCTGTTTCCCACCATCCCCTTCCCTGCATAGTTCTGGGTTAGTGTGACCACAAGAGATGTTTTACAGGAGACTTGGAAGGCAGAAGTGAAGCAGAGACGGTTTTTGTTTTACTCTCAGAAAGCCGCTGCCGGGCAGCAGGTGCTGACGCCGCTTATCCACTGGTCCCCCTCGTCCACGTGAGGCAACAGCCAAGCAGGCGGCTCCCCCAGCTTCTGCCGCATCTCTCCCGTCAGTTTCTCGCTCTGCTAGGCCAGGTGCATATTAGCTCTGTGATGAAGGAAACCAGCTTCTCCTGCACTGAAAACCTAAAGGCAATGAGAGATCAACTCAGGTTCTAGGCCAGTGTCATAGGTTCCAGCTCATCTTTGCAGATCCCTTTAGTCTTGCGTTCCCATATCCCATCTGTCTTCCTCTCCTGACTGCCTGCCATGCAGACACAAATGTGACAGCCCTACATAAACTGTTGACCAGCTCTCACATTGCATGCTGTCAAACCCCTATAATAAATCTATATCTGTGTCTATATCTATATCTATATGCCTATTTATAGATAGATAGATTAAAGAGAGAGAGAGAGAGAGAGATCTCCTAATGGTTCTGCTTCTCTAACTGAACTTCAACTGATAACAAAACATCCACCAGTCACCTAAGCCATAAATCAAGTATCGTCCCAATTCCTCTCTCTCCATCACTCACAATGTCTGAGCGTCGACCCAGCAAATCATTCCACCTCCCAACATCTTTTGTTCTCCAAGTCCTTGGATCCTTTTGTTCTGTTCTGTTTTATGCTGGCATTTGACAATGGAACTATGTTTGTTTTATAAACAGCAACGGGAAAAGCATGGTAGAAAAAGCAGAAGGGAACTCATGAGCGACTGCTACTTAAAGGCTCAACAAAGAACTATGAATGATCCAAGTGCAGGTCGGCTTGCCTTTTCATCCCCTCACACTGCAAACATTAAACAACCAGACATGATCCCTTGGAAGGGTAGGGCCATGGAAAGGGTGCCCACACTTGCAAGTCAGAGCCTTTCACCACAACCAGTGACAAGCAATGTGCTCACTGGGGGCTTGGCGGCAGCTTAATTACTAAGAATGCCTGTTACAGAAATGTGTTTATTTATCATAAAGGCGACAGGAGTTGCTAAGCAAATTCATAAAGCAACAGCAGAAATGTTAGCCTACTTAAAAGCAGGGAGCTTAAGTACTGGCCTTTACGTTCACATAATAAATATGCTTATTATACATCTTCCTCCTTCTGTAATAATGTCCTGGCATGGATCCCTAACACATCCTCCCTCTTCCCTTTCAGCATTTGTCCTGTGGGTGCTTGATTATAATGGAACTACATTTCCTTACAAATGTTCTGTTTCTCCAGCCTATCATTCATCATCCATTAATTCACAAAACATTTATTAAGTGCCTGTTGTTTGCCAGGTGCTGGGAATATGACAGCTTATTAGTATAGGATTTGTATTTGTGGAGTTGCCATTCTAATGGGGGAAGATCATTTATCAAGAAGTAATCAAATAAATAATATCATTCCATTTAGTGATAGATACCACAAATATACAAAGTTGGATAAGGGATAGTGAGTGTGAACAGGTGGTCAGAGAAGGCCTCCTGGACGAGGTGACAACTAAGCAGAGATATGAACATTGGGAAGGAACTAACCATGTGGCCATCTGAGCAAGAGCTTCCCAAGTAGAGAGGACCTTCTCTGAGGTCAGCATTCATGTGTGAGAAAATAAATGAAAAAATAACGAGTACTGGATATTTCTCCCTTCAGTTTCTGGAACACTCCAAGCTCTTTTCTGTCTTTATCAATTCTACTCCCTTACTGGATCACTCTTGCTCCTGTTCTCACCTGAATGACTCCTCATTTCTCAGGTCTCAATCCAAATACCCCTTCTTCTGAGAAGTCTTCCCTGACTATCCAGTCTAAGGCACATCCTCCTGTGACTTTCTCTGATAACATCTGCTTTTATCTTTACAAAGTGTGACTGTTTGTATGTTGTATTAGTCAGACTTCTCCTGAGAAACAGAACCATCAGGAGATATATATAGATTTACCTACTTATCTATCTATATTTATAGTTAGATCTATCGCTATCTATCTATATCTCTATTATTTATATAGATATAGATTTACTATAGGAATTGGCTCAAATGATCATGGGAGTTGAGAAGTCCCATGCTCTACTGTCTGCAGGCTGGAGAACCAAAAATGGTGGTGGTGTAGCTCAGTCCAAAGACCTGAGAACTGGGGGGTGACGGGGGTGTCGGGGCAAGGTGTAAGTCCCAATCCGAGACTGAAGGCCAGAGAACCAGAACTGATATCCTAAGCAAGAAAAGATAGGTTCCAGCTCAAGCAGAGAGAAAATTTGCCCCTTCTCTGCCTTTTCATTCTATTCAAGCCCTCGGAGGATTGGGTGATGCCCACCATCATTGGTGAGGGTGATCTTCTGTACTCAGTCTGCTGATTCAAATGCTAATCTCTTCTAGAAACACCCTCACAGACACACCCAGAGATATGCTTTACCAGCTATTTGGGCAACAACTTAGCCCAGTCTAGTTGACGCATAAAATTACTCATCACATATGTGTACTTATTCAACACATAGAAAGCATTCAAATAACTGTTGAATGAATGAACCAATGGGTGAACCATAAAACAGTCAGTCATCCACAGAGCATCCAAACCAGGCAGGTTGAGAATTGAGAAAAGGGTGGCGGTGGAACACAAAGGAAAAAAATTTTATTGAGAAAAATGAGGATTTAATGAAGAAGGAAAGAAGGTGAAAGGGAAGCCTGCTAAGAGAAGCCAAGCTGAGGGGCTGGGTTAGAGGGGAAGGGGGCCGAGAGCAGCCCAGGCAGGACAGTGGGCAGAAGTGGCAGAGAGAGTCTAACAGCAAAACAACAGCTGCACTGCCGGCCGTTGCCAGCAAAGGCTTCAGCACTATTCAGAGGGACAGCGTCACGCACACCTGAGATGCAAGGCCTGAGCGGCCCACCAGGGTCACCTGCCAACTACCACATAATCCTCCCCTGCCTGGATACCTTCGGCACTGGACGGGGTGCTCACTCCCAGCATCAGTTATGCATCGACCCTCACAATGTGCGTCTTTTCTTCTCTACTGAAAGCATTCCTAATCCCTTAACCATTCTTCTGGGACAATGGCCAAACCATTCACCCTCTCCACCCTCTAGTCACCCACATCCACAACAGGTTCCGATTTGTCAGGATCTCCTTTGCAGGGTGTCGCCCGGATCAGCACCCACTGCACCAGTGGTGGCTGAAGTGACCTTCTCAAAGCCTTTGAAACCAACAAACTCGCCAGCTGGCTGGAAGCCTGGGATGGCTTTGAGCCTGCCTGCTTTGACAGAAGAGGTTATAGCAGATGCTCCTGTATTTCATTGTGTGACAACTGAATGCACTGTGGGAGGAGAGGAAAATAGAACCTGGGAAAGGGCGCGAACCTTTCTGGGTGGCCTTAACAGATGGGCGTACATAATGAGATGACACAGGTTCTAATCTCAGGACCAGCTGCTGAGGCATGACTGCTTTCTTAATGGAAAAAGAAGAAATACTCCTTGAAATGAAAAATACAAGGCAGACAAATGTGTCCAAGGAGAGCTGGAGGATTGAATGCCCCCTCAGAGCTCTTTGGGGAACCAGAAAGTTCTGGTGAAAATGCCACTGCAGGTGGAGCAGATTCCTTGTTACCTACTCAGACTGGATGAAAAACAGACCTTTAATGTTCCGTGCACACCTTCCATAGGCGCAGGGCACCTGCATCTCTGATTGATGGCATTTCAGACAGTTTTCTCCTTGGAGCTATTACTTCCCCAAATTTCTTTTGCCAGAAAAGTAACTAGAGAGCTCCGGTGCCCTCCCTTCCTGGGACATTTTTTTTAACGTATCCATAAAAGTATATCTTAAAAAGGAGTTGCTCGGTTTTCAACATGTGGATAATTGATTTGTTACAACTCACAAAAGAGCATTTGTCATTTCAAAACAACCAAGAGCAAGACATGCTTCTTCCTCCCGCGCTGAGTGTGGAGACACTTGACTTATTGCTGCCGTTAAATTGAAGTGTTCGGCTGATTATTTGGTATTTCAGAATTCTTTATAAATCACCGCCTTATTTTGGTGATTACAGTTTTAAGAGGAGGCACTTGATTTATAGGCGACATCAGGGAGGAGGAGGGAGGAAGAGGGAGGGGCCAGGAGGTGCAGCAGAGGCAAGAGGTTCAATGAAGACACAATTGGAAACATCTGTTTGATACATCACCCCCTTCTCTACAAATTGCAGCCCTGGAATACGCCTACACCTGGGAGATTTTCATTACCCAAGCTTTGACAGGTAAATACAACAAGAAGGAGGTGGTGGAGGTGTGTCCATGGCTGTTTGCAGATTTGGATGTGTCAGTCCACTCAGGGTTCTGGCCCCCCTCCCCAGCTGGGGGTAGAAGAGAGTGAGGTTCTAAAGTGAAATTCATCCTACTGTGATGAGGATGAGATCTAGGTCCACGTTCACGGTGAAAACGAGACGGCTGGCTCCAACTGGACACAGCTGGATTCTGAGATGCAACAGAGCGGAAAATGACTTCTTAGGCTTCAGTGAGTCCATCAATCAACCGCATTTATTGGCAGCCGAAGGGAGGTGGACCACTGTAAAAGACTCTTAGGAGGGCCCCAGAAATTATCAGACGTGATGCCCACCCTGGAAAAAATTACAACCTAATTGGGAAGACCCGAGTGACATGCCGATTGTCCCCGTCAGGTTAAAAAGTCATTAAATATGTCATAGGCTAGCTATGTATAAGTGGCACCTGCTTCCACTCCAGCTGGAGGTTAGTGTCTGAAATTTCTTCCCAGGGAACAAAGACCTCTACTCTAGTGATGAGAGGTCAGGCTTGAGTTTCAAACACCCCAGAAGAAGGACTCTGACTGGTGAGATATGTTCAGTGCTAGATTTTTTACATTGGAGCATGTACACATACCCAGGTGGCCAGGATGGTGAGAGAGACTAAAACTAGTGTTATAGAGAATATATCAAGAAAATGGGGTATTCTGCCTGGAAAAGAGGGGATATGAGAGCTCATACGTGTCTGAAAGGTTGTCATGGGAAGGAGGAAGCAGATTTATTTTGTAATCACTCCAGAAAGAAGAGCGAGAATTGCTGGTAGAAAACTGCAAAGAAGCAGATTTTAGTTCAACATAATCTAGCAATTAGAGCTCTGTGGGTATAGAGAGGTTGTAGGTAGTGAGCTCTCTGCCAGGGAAGGTGTGAAAGGACAG